CATCCAAAACGCGCGTTTTATTGTGCTAATCACTTCTGGAAGTTCACTAAACATGTTTAGAGGCAAAAAAGCGCGGAAACAAAGTGTTTAGAAGCTAAACCAATGATTTCAAATTCTGACTTTTGAAGAAACTTCAGTTCTAAGTTACCAAGTTCAAATCAATGGCATTCTCAGCTCAATGGGTCTTAGGGCATGATTCTTGATGGTCTAGAAAGATGGGGTTACAAGATTTGCAATGGAAAAAGAATGGAATCAAATGGATGCTTGAGCTGAAAGTTGCATTGAGTCAAAGTTGGAAAAAAAAGGTTGACTTTCCATGCTTAGAAATATTTCAAATTTTTCTTCAAAAGTGACCTATAATGTTTTGCATCCAAACATGGCCTTCCACATGGAATTTTCTCTTAACCAAAAAAGATGGCATGAAATAGACCTCTTGAATGAAATTTTCAAACTTGAAACATTCAAAATATCCAAAAATTGAGAGAGTTATGAATTATTGAAGTTGGTAAAAGATCATGAAATGACCTATAATCTTTTGTATCCTTAGGGCATCTTCCATCCATTTTCTAACTTTTCATATAAAAGAAGGAATAAAGTTCACATCCTCAAGATAAATATGGAAAAATAGTGGGCTCAAGGTGATAAAAATTGACCAAGTTATGATCATTTAAATTCACACATGAGAAATTGAGGGTTCATCTGGAGGACTTGTAATTTTTCTTCATCATCAAGTTTCTTCAACATGAAAACTCCTTGGAACTTTTGAAGTGATTTGTTAATAAACCTTTAAAAAGAAGGATGTCTTTGGAATCACTCAAAAATGCCAAAAGATGAGCAAGATATACTTCTTTGAAGTTCAAAACCCTAGCTCCTAGATCAAGAAAATGCTTGGAGGAACCTTGACAATTTTGAACCACCTTCTTGTACCAACACCCTTGATTTGTAAATAGAAGTTGTTGAGGATGAAAATGAGAACTCATAGCCACAAAAACCACTTCCATATCTTGAAAATTGAGAGAAATATGCACTTGTGATCAATGGGAACAAGACTTTGTTCAACCATGACAACTTCTTCAATCAATCCCTTGCACTTTTGAATCAATCTTGATATATTGGAAATGTAGTGAACCAAAATAACCTTGTCATGCCATCCCTTCCCAAACAACTTCAATGGTGAGGTTTGGACTTCTCAAGCTTTATTGCCTAGGGCATGGAAATAAACTCCTGAACCCATGGAGCAACTTGCTAAACCTCATTGCCTTTACCTACATTAGTAACAAGCAAGACAAACCAACATTGAATTTTATTAATTAAAAGGGAAAATCAAGACAAAATATTCATGATCACAAAAGAAAACAAGTCAAGATGTTTGGTGATTCCTCAAAGAGCAAAGCTAAAGATAGGGAGGAGAACCAAAAACCCTAATGTGATCTTGTTGTGATTGAATCAATATGGTATGATGAAGGGATCTTAGGGGCAAAAATTGGGGTACAACACATGCTCAAACATAACATTCCTTTTTTCAACATGATCATGAAGGAAGTTGTGACGTATCTCAATATGTTTGGTGTGTGAATGTAGTACAAGATTTTTGGTTAGATTAATGACACTAGTGTTGTCACACATGATAGGAATACATAAAAGTTTAATAACAAAATCAAGTAATTGTTGTTTAAGCCACAAGATTTATACACAACAACTATCACTGCCACGTATTCCGCCTCGACGGTTGACAAAGCAACAAAAACTTGCTTTTTACTATGCCAACTTACCAAGGACTTTGAAAATATGTGACAAGTTCCACTAGTACTTTTCCTATCCAATTAACAATCGGAAAAATCAGAATTAGAATAACCAACCAAACTACAATTGTTTCCCTTGGAATACTAAAGCCCAAACCTAGAGGTACCAATGAGGTATCTAAGAATGCACTTAACCGGTTTTATATGAGATTCTTTAGGAACAGATTGATATCATACACACATACAAACACTAAACATAATATCGGGCCTAGATGCATTAAGATAAAGAAGAGATCCAATCATGCCTCTATACCTTTTTACCTCAACATCCTTACCCTTTTCATCTCTATCCAAGTTACCGTTTGTTGCCATAGCTGTGTCAATTTCCGTTGCACCGTCCATACCGAATCTTTTGAGTAATTCTAGACAATACTTGGTTTGACATATAAATATTCTTTCATCAAGTTGCTTAATTTGTAGTCTAAGAAAGTAGTTTAACTCTCCCATTAGACTCATTTCAAACTCTTCCCGCATAAGCTTAGAGAACTCCTTGACAAGATGCATATTAGTAGGTCCAAAAATGATATCATCAACATAGATTTGAACTAGTAAAATATGCTTTTCTTGACGTTTAATAAAGAGTGTAGTGTCTATATTCCCTCTAGAGTATCCTTGCTCTAGCAAAAACTTACTAAGTCGGTCATACCATGCCTTAGGGGTTTGTTTAAGACCATATAATACACGTTTTAGCTTGAACACGTGATCAGGAAACTCATAATTTTCAAAACTGGGAGATTGACAAACATACACCTCTTCATTTATGTATCCATTAAGAAACATACTTTGTACGTCCATTTGATATAATTTGGAGTTCTTAGAGCATGCATAAGCTAATAAAAGGAGTATAGCCTCAAATCGGGCAACCAAAGCATAAATTTCCTCATAATCAATGCATTCCTCTTGGTTATACTCTTAAAATCGTGTCGACCTGAACATCGTATATATCGACACATGCAATGAAAATTTATGTAGAAACTTATTTTTAATGACTTGGATCAATTTTGAAATGCTTTTTAATGATTCTCAAGACCTCTAATGCAGAGGAGTGCCACAAGAGATAAAGATATCGTCCAATATACATAAGTGCTAGTTATTCACAGTTTTGACATCATGCAAAACGTCTAATGACGAAGTTGTACTCACACCTACAACCAACTAGTGATCGAACATATCATCAACCACATATGATGAATGAATGAGTCACCTTAGACAAATCAAACCCAATTAGGAGGCATATCTTCACATTTATTAGGCTACTTCTTCCCCGTTTTGTGCGACTTATCCCCTCACATTGGAATCTTGCCCAGAGTGAAAGCAATTAACTTATAACATATACTAAAGGACCTTCCTTTCTAAGACCCAATAAATTATAGCACTTATAACATATACTAAAGGACCTTCCTTTATAAGATCCAATAAAATTATAGCAGTGCAATAAATATAACATAAAAAAAAGTTGATGAATTAAATCAATCACAATAAAAAATTTATGATAAATTAAATAAAAATATTATAAATTTTTATTAAAATTCTGAATAATGTTGATTTTAATGATTGGAATAGATTTTTTAATATTAATTATAAAAGTGTAGTTATTTTTTTATGTTATATTGACAATTTACATAAGAAATAATTTTTTATTTAAAATTTAATTTTAATAATTGAATTGAATCTTGAATAAATCACAATTTCTCATCGTGTAATTTTATAAGAAGTTATTATAAAAGTTAATTTATAATAGATAATGGTAAAAACTAAAGATGGACACAATTGAACCCTCCGACTCAAATCGACTAATTCATTATCTTTTTTATGCAAATAGATCAGGTCGGATCGAGTGTCAGATTAATCAATTTATTTGATTTGAGTAGTATAGGGTTACTTTGGTCAGATTCAGATGATTATTTTGAATCCGTTAAAAATTAAATTCGACCGAACTCAACTATTTTTTTTATTACTATAGTTGTGACTCATTATAAAAATGAGATTCATGATATTTTCAAATTATTATCATTTTTATAATCTAATAGTGATATTTGTACTCACAAAAATACAAACATACAATATAAAAGTGAACGTTATATAGTTTGTGATTTAAAGAATGATAATAAATAAATTAATATTAAATAATATTGAAAATATTATGATAATAATAATATATTCATCAATAAAAAAGTAATTTTTTTAAGATATTCTAAAATTTTGATAGTTTTTAGAAAAATCTAAACAATAAATGTGAACTTTATAATAAAAAATTGGTTGAGTTTAACTTTATAAATATTAAATTGATTAAAATTATCTGATTTATCTGTCAAACAGATTAGAGGTGTTCAAATCCAAACCAATCCAAATAAAAAATCAAAAACCGATCCAAAAAACTGAAAACCATAAAAAACTGAAAGTTATTGGTTGTGTTTGGATGTTATTTTATGAAAACCGATCGGTTCGGATTGGATTTCGGATGAATTTTTCAAAACCGATCCAAACCAAACCGAACCGCATAAATATATTTTGATACTTATTTACTTTTTATTAGTATGACATGTTATGTGAATTTATTATTAGATGATAATAATTTTTTTAATAATATTTATTAGTTTGGTATAATCTATTTATTTTTATTATTTCAAACATAATGAATCACTCTCATTTTGTAATATTAACTTTTAATATACTATATGTTATATATTATATCAAATCTATAATTTATTAGTAATTTTATAATATTAATAAAAATATAATGTGTAATTTGGATATCCAAAAACCGATTCAAACTAAACTGCATAAAATTCGATCGGATCCGATTGGATTTTTTTAAATATATCATCCAAAACCGAACCGAACCTTAAGTGAATTAATCTTTGAATCAGATGAATTTTTACTTTAAAACCGATCCAAACCGAACCGCAAACACCCCTAAAACAGATGTAATCGAATTCGTCGAAAACTAAAATTTTATTGATCAGAATTAAATGTTTAGAATATAATCGTAGTTTAGGTCAGATTTAAGTTCTAAGCCCGATATCTACCGACACCGACGAATTGTTTAGTCTAGTAAAAATTAAATGTTTTAAATAAATTAAGAAATACAATAGATGTAGAGAGTATATAATAGGGGTAGTATGGAGAATATGTTGCTTATATGAGTTGAGCAATCCAATTGAGATTCAACCTGAAGTGAACGGATAAGAGAGAAAT